ACCTGGCTCCCACGTGTCTGCTATGTGGGTTAGAGGTAGTCAAATGGCCAAAACGTGTTGTGCACAGAGTATCCCAAACAATGTGGTGTTCTATCCGTAACCGATTTGTGACCGATATGTCAATGTAAATTTATTTATATAGCACATAAAACAACAAAAGTTGACCAAAATGATTCACAATTTAGCCAAATGAATAAAACAACAAAGCAACACAGATCAGTTTAAAATAGAGAAAAAGAACATTAAAAACATTAACTTTAAAAGAATCTCAAAYTCTACCAGAATGAAAGGCCAAGGAGTAAAGATGAGTTAAGCATAGATTTAAAAGTTTCAACAGTCTCAGCAGTCTGAATGCTAAGAGGYAAACCATTCCAAAGATTTGGGGCAGAAACTGCAAAGGCCCGATCACCTCTAAACTTTAGTCTAGATCTAGGAACATCTGAGAAACTGGTTGGATGACCAAASTGCCAAATGGACCAAATGGTTKATATTGGAGTGTTGTCTCCAATGAGAAGCCTGACAAAGTGTGTGTGAAAACAAACGTTGAGCAACCACATGACCATCAACTGTTCGCCTTTGGATGGAGCATGCTGGGCCTTTAACATTGGTAGTCAACGCAACCAAGATAGCCACCATGACCAAGTGACCTGAGAAAACACAAAGGTTTCCCATAATTCAGTCAGTTTTATTGATATTGTGCTAATATTCTGTGCAGAAGGTGGTGAGAGACTTTCAGAACAGATAATACACATTGCACAACATTTTTACCTAAAACTTTACAAAAACTTTCAGAAATTAATTACTTATCAAACATGTACAACTGACTAATACTTGCAGYCAAAACAATTCAAGATGGCCACCACAACAAATCAACTTTAGCCAACAAAAAATTAGTTCTAACAGTTGGTTGAACAGATACTGATGTAAAAATTTCACAAGTACTAGCTGAGACATTCACAACACATTGAGCTGGACCACTCACATCACATGCCTTTATAGATAACGCTGTCACACACCATTCTTCGTTTTGCTGCATTCATTTTTACTTTCATTTAAAATCAAAGTACATTTTGACTTTTGTCGCTATACGACCCACAGAAATGCAACAACAGTCTTTTAAACCAGAACAAARCAGGGCTTTCCCTGCACGCACTGTAAATTACATTTAAAGAGAATGAGTTATGCTGAAAAGGAGATCAGTGAAAGGTGTGCCTAAAATCTCTGTAATGTAATTTTAATGGCTCTAACTGGGGTGTAGTTACTGCTAATGAGAGTCTGAAACAAGGCTCATCCAGCTTTCATGCTGCGATGTAAGGCCATCAATTAGGAACGAGGGTGGAGACCCGTCTTTTCATGCTCATCAAGGCTTTGAAGGAATTAGTTCTTTTGAACATTTCCATCTTTGAGTGAAACGGGTCACACAATCAAGAGGAGAGAGGGAGGGAGGGAGGGTTGAGCTGGTAGGTTGCACCCTGCTGCTGTCTGACATAAAGACTTCTCTGCTGAGGGCACCACTGCCTGCGATTCAGGAGCTACTCAAAGTTTCTCATTTTTATTTTTTGAACACAGAAATTTGAAGCATTTAAAAAAATGTTTTCACCAGATGTTTCAATTTAATTTTTCACTGCAGAGATGTCTAGATTTGGAGAAATGAAAACAAAGAAAATTTAGTCAGCTGTTGTGTTTATAGAATACCTGGCATTGTATTTGTTTAATATTAAAACTATCCAGTATTTATAATCTGAGATGGCCATAGAAAGCTAAAAATCAGAGTTAAACAAAAAACAGACAGAAAATTGAATGTAGGAGAAACTAGCATTCATTAAAGAAATGCACATCCCCCACTGTCTTTCATGTCAAATCTTTAAATTATTTACCATTGTTTAAATCCCTTTGAGATCACAGAWYTCTTTTTCMAGGGTGGCTTGGGCTTGAAGGCAACCTRTTGTACTTATTTTTGTGTAAATAAAAATCTTGTGCAACCTGTTGTGCTCAAAGCAAGAGACTGGGGTGACTCACAGCTACTACCACATCAAATTGTAGCTCAGCATGTAAAATGGACTGAGTTTTAACCATTCCTGTGTTGGTTAAGGTTTATTAGCTGTGGTGACCATCTTGAATTGGACTAKCTTGAAAAAGGAATCAAGCCAATAATTACTTTATGGGTGTTTCATTCAAATTTGTCCAGTTCATGATATATTTCGCTGAGAAACAGACATTGTTGACTTCAAAAGTTAATGCCAAAGTTTTACAGAAAGATCTCATACAATCTGTTGGAGCACATAGTTTGTGTTAGAAATGACTCCCATCAACTTCCACAACAAATTTTAGCTCTCCTCAGTTATAAATAATTTAGTGCTGACTTAGCTGTAGTGACTATCATGAATTGGGTTGTTTCCAAAAATTTATCAGTCAATGTTTATCATGGGATCAATTTCTGATAGTTTTTTTAACCCCTTCCACTTGTTCATGATATTTTGCTAACAAAGACACATGGACACAAACACCGGCTMATAAACAATCAGCTACTTTTGAAAGGTGGAGGGTGATAATAATACAACCAGCACCTTCAACAGTAAAAACAATACTTTCATGTAAGAATGTCATCCAGCACAGCTCTGGAGACTGTTTGTTTGTATGTGTGTTATTTTTACAGAAGTGCCATGTGGGATTGGTAATAACAGTCATCTGAGCAAATTGAGTAYACTTAACTTTTTTGCTTTTAAAGTGAAATTGAATGTTGCACTACTGTAGAGCCCGTTTTGTTAGGACTGGTGGTTAAAGTGTAAGTCTCATGGCTCCATATTTGTTACAATTGCAAAAGTAAATCAAATGAAAAGACTGAGACTTCAATGAACATTTTTAAAGCTTCACTGTCATCCAAAATGACAACTTTCTGAAATTCCTGTGCCAAAATTCGACCGTTGACAATGTGTGGTAAATTTGAGAAGTAATCATGAGAACTGTTTTTATTTTCTGCAAGGCTGAAGCATGAAATGAMGCACAACTGTTCTCTAAAGAACAAGAAGATGGCAGAAGCAATGCAAGCTGGTATTCATTACTTCTACAGCCTGAGCATGAATTTAAATGAAAGCTATTGCAAAGTCATGAAGATCAGTCATGAAAACAATCATAAAGTGAGCAAGATAATATGGTTATATATATATATA